AATTTTAATGGTGTTGTTTCAGGTATCCAACAAAAAATCAGCTGCTAGAAATGTCGCAGCTCATTGTAAAGATGTATCCATTCCTTAAGGACAAATCTGTTGGAACTGGATATGTAAGTTCAGTATAGCAAGCTATAGTTAGGAAGGTAATATTCATTAAAACTAGTGAGAGAATCTCAGATAGTGCAGAGTGCAATTTGCGGCTCTGATACAGTAGTCACATAGGTCCTCACCCATGCTGTTCTCTCCCTTTGTAGTGAACTGGCTTTTCCCCTAGCAAAGTATGAGTGGACAAAAACTTAATGAGATATTATCTCAGCATTGTGTATGTTCCATGTTTATATTTTCTTTCAAGGCCCCCAAAACATATATATAGCGTTGTCATGTTGTCATGAAATCAGCAGTATGACACGTGTTGCGTAGTGCACTCGAGTACCTACCACACTTAGCCCCCATTCCTGCAAGGCTAATTGCTTAATTGAAATTAATTAATTAAACAAACATTAAAGTTTACAACTTATGGCATTTTTGAATTATGGCGTTAGTGCATTAGTGCCTTAGCGAACAGCAGCCTCCTAAACCATTCCAATAGTGCACTCTGCACTAAAGAGCTTAATTAAGGATGTCAATTTTTATCATCGGAATAAACAAAAATAATATCAGGTAGGTCACATCTCTTAAGTAGTCAGTTGAAAAGCTCATACCTGTTACTGGTAAATGCAAAAGCATATTATTAACTTTAAAACCCAAATTTCAGGACTCCTGGTTTGCCCAGCTTTATGAGAAGTTCAGGAATGAGCGGAAATCCATTACTGATGACCCTGAAGTTATCCTTCACAAGAGGAGAAAAACTAAGGGGTCTGAAGTACAACCTGTGGCACTGAAGTTGAGAAGGGGTGGAATCAACTGGGAGCCACCATTTCCAGAAGGGGAAGATGAGCTGTCCATGAAAAGACACAAGGAGTGGTTACAGAATGAGTACATGCGGAGAGAACCAGACTTGAAGAAAGTGGAAGACCGCATGGCACTCACATTCCCAGACAGAAGAAAACTGATGAACAAAAAAGTACCACTTACTGAAGTGCGAGCAGAGTACCCGGCCTTATTTAATTTCAAGCAGGTATTACATGCATGTAATATGTGATTTGGGAGGCAATTAGCAAGTAATAACAGTGTAATTATTTATCATGTTAAATAACTTAAATGTTCCAAGTTGGAGGTTTTGGTAACAATATTAGAACCAAAGGGAAGTTGATACAGTCATTGCAATACATTACAACACGAACATCCTTACTAGATTACAATTATAATTTCACATTGTCATACCAGTAAAGGTTGACTGCATGATTTTGGTATTCTGCTCCTTTTTGTAAGGTTTGTTTTGGTTTCTTTTTTACCTTGGAGGTATTACTTTTGTAATTTTTCCGAGGCTTAATTAATACACTCTTCCTTAGTTCTTTCACTGTGGTTGGCTTATTGCATTTGTGATATTAAGCCACAGAATGTTACTATTGTATATTGTCATTCAGATCATAGCAGAATTTGAGTTGATATTGGGAGTGAAAACCAGCATTTTAGACACCTTTCGATCCAACTTCACTCAAGTTGCAGAGCAACTTATTGAAATGGCAAAGATGAAAGATAGGAAAAAAAAGAGTGGAATGCAAGAGCATTTAAAATTCTTGAAGGAAGACTCAAATGATTACAATGATGATGATACAGATAATACTCCAGGTAAGAGAACCATTATGTGAATTAAAGTAAAGCATGTGTGTTAGTATTGATAATACTTTTATCTCATGACAAATGCAAATTGTACCTTATTCCTTACAGGTGCCTTTTATTACTATGAATTTTTAGAAACCCAAGAAATTTGATGGCAGAAGCAAAAGATAGATTTTAGCAATTGTAGCTACATGTAGACTCAGATCATTCGCTTGGCTGGATTTGTCAATCAGTTTTAGACTTTTTGGTGGAATACCACTGGGCAGGTATAATGGCAGATATAAGTCAGTTGGTAATCCTATACTGTAATCAACTGCTGAAAAAAAAGGACATCAAAAGTGGGAAAAATGTTAAAAACAGAAACAACAGCTGCTCATATTTTCTTAATGTACGCCACAGAATCAGAAGCAAAATTCTGTTTAAGAAATCATGCCGTGGCTCACAAAGCTCTTTGATGTCAAATGTTATTCTGATGTCTTTTGATGGTTACTTAACTGTAGATAGTGTAGCCTCCCGTGGTCTTATTTATTTATTTATTTATTTTTTTCGTTTCCTATTTTTTAGATGAAAAAGCAGAGGTGGCCATGGCAGTCCTTCCATTTTTATTAAAACCAGCTGCAAAAGAAGGACTATCTCAGCAGCAGGACTTTGTTTACTTCATTCCTGTAAGTAAATGACCAAGTATTGTATTAGCTCAAATTAAATGGTTTGGCCAAAGCTAAATGTTGATTTGTTCCAATTAAAAGCCCAAAAACACCTCTTGCTTTGGGAGAAGGTTTGGTGAAATGCTAAGAGGGCTCACCTCCCAGTAAGGGTAATCATAGGCCCAGTATTGTCTAATAATCTGAGTTCTCAAGGCACAGGTTTACATATATCCTCTGTTTGTGTGGTCACAGCCTCTGCCATATTATTATTCACAATATTGTAAATATTTAAGTTTGCTAAAATTGGATTTTACAGCTGTGTATTTGAGATTAAAAGCGATAAAAATGTTGTTTCTGTGCAGGCAGGAATTTTGGCAATTATTGTCCCAGCTGGTGATACAGATCATTTAAATCAGCAAATTAACGACCTCAGCTAGTTTTAAAAAACAAACAGTGAGGTAATCGGTCTCAAATTTGAAGACTGGGAGTTCTGAAGAAACTGAGCAGTGGAAGTATAGTTTTTAAGGTGCATTCTAGAAGTGCTACCCGATTCTTCAATCTAGAAGTTCCAAACCTTGTGTGATTTATAACATTTTACATATGAGTCAATGACTAAAACCCATAAAGCAACTCTTGTGCGCTCAAAATAGTAAAAAAAAAAAACAAACAAACAAACAAAAAACAAAAAAAACAAAAAACAGAGAAACAAACTTAAACAATGCAATGTGTTTCCATAGCATTTTATTTCAAATACACAGCTGCAAAATCCGATTTTAGAAAGCTTAAATATTTTCAATAATTTTAGTGAAGAACTGATTTAAATAATAATTTGCTGAGGCAATGACCGCACAAACAGGGGATGGTAAGCGTGTGCTCAGGGTTTTCCAGTTGTCCTCCCTCCTCCATCTCATTGCCTCCCAAACCCAGAGGATGAAGAGTGGAGGTGCCATTGCAAATTCCTTTTACTTTATAAATTATTATATCAATATATCGTTTATATATGCTTCATGAATTTCATGTACCTTCTGATTTGTTTTATCTTGTAGGATGAAGGCATGACGGCAAAGCAAGTGGCTAGTGCCAAAGAAAAGCCATTTCCCTTCATAATAGTTGAAGGAAATATTGACTCTCTTGCAGAGATACACTTGGCTGCTGAAAACCAGCTTTTATGTTCCTTTTCTGGCAGTCTTGTAGAGGCAGCATGTGGCCTTCTGGCCAGCTATTATGTTTTTATGTTCAATTACCCTTCTGGGTTAAAGAACTTGTTTTTATATTTACAAAAATGTATTTTGAATGTGCAGGATGGACAGAAACTGCCAGGATCTGTCATCACATTAGTAAATGAAATTGACAACACGTTAAAGAGTAAAGCTTGATCTGACAGTGCAATACTTGTACGAGGTTTTATTTACCTTTAACCTCAATAATTTGTTGTACCTTCTATTATTTTGTTAAATAATACTTGAATGAATGAGATCAGTTCTACTATTAATTGCAGGTGATATAAGTTTTTACTGTATACAGTATACAGTATGTATAGAATATATGTTATACAGTAATGCAAAAAACTGTATAACATATTTAGTATTGAAATGGGTACTGTTAGTTATATTGATAACCTAAAAATTTGGGTTAGATATTATTTAAAAGCTGTAGGGTTATTGTTTTCCTTTTTTGCTGCTATACTGGCTATGGGACTAATAAACCCCAATATTGTTAGACAAAAAAGTTTCAGTTTTGGTTCATTTTCAGTGAGACCAGATAATTTAGATAGAATTAGGTTAAATGTCAAGGAGGAGGAAAAATTAATTGACTCGGTCCAACTAGGAGCAGTAAAACTTTCCTGTTACCGGTAATTGCAGTTTTATTTATTAAACAAGTTATCAAAGATGTAAATCTTGTGAGTGTTTTTTACCTTGAATATTGAGTATAATTTACTCATGCATTGAGTAAACTGTTAGTTTACTCAAAATAACGAGTCACTGTGGATTCATTTTGCCTGAGCTCCTTTAATCAGTATCGTGAGTAAAGTTTACTCATATGCGAGTTATTTTACTCACAAATGAGTAACATATACTCACTACATTGAATGAAATTTACTCACATGTGAGTAGTTATACTCATGCCCTTGAGTATGGTTTACTCATCACTCCGGGTTCAGTTTACCCAATATATGGAGTTACTGTGGATTCAACGTTTTACTCAATATTTTGGGTTAAAGTTACTCGACTTTTTTTGCTGTG